CCGAACTTGTTCATCCGTCAATGTCTTCTTTGCCTCACACTTCTTGTACTTCCGCTCTGCGTTGATCTCGCACTGCTGGCATGCTTCGCCTCTCCCGCGCCCCATCACCGGCTCGCTTGACCGGGCCGACATTAACCCTGGGCCGCGACCCTGCGGACACGGGCCGCTGTTTCGAGGGTGCCCCGCGCGGCACGCAGCGCGTGGCGACCGCGTGTCCGCGGGACCGCGCCCCAGAGTCCAGACCACGAGGGAGCGCCTACCCAGGCATGCGGCGTCCTGACTTTTCTAGGACGGCGCCCCTGGAAGTCCCGACCCCCTCCCCGGGGACCGGCTCTTCGTCCTGAGTCGTTCCTTGACGGCCCTGGGGCCCGGCGAGGGCCCCCCGGGGCCGCAGACTGCCAAACACCTGCCGCCCTGACGTCTTCACGACGCGATCGTGCGAGGGCCCCCCGGGGCCGCAAACTGCGAAAAACCTGCCGTCCTGATGTCTTCACGGCGCGATCGTGTCTGGGTGCGGATCCGTTCGCCGCGCCTGATCTCCGGGGCGCCCAACCCTCATAGCCTGAATTACCTTCCCCGCTTTTGCTTCCAGGCAGAACCAAGTCATACCACGCGCCTCCTCGTCAAGCGGCCTGACCAGTACAGGCCGTAGCTTGGCATCGCTTGGCATCTCTTGGAAGCGAGGGTGGTCAAGAGCGAGGTAGGTTTGCTTGCCCCCTAAACCCGCCCCTGCCTGCCGTCCCCCCCCCCCTCTTGCGCGGAGGCGCGCCACCGCCCGGCGCTGAGCCGCGGCCTCGGAGGGCCCCCCCCCCCCCCCGCGCGGGCGCGGAGGGCGGGCGTCGGCCGCGAGGGGGCGGTAGGGGGGCGGAGGAGGCCGGTGACTGGGAGCTCGGGGGGGGGGGGAGGGGACGGCGCCGCCTGCTGCACCCCCCCCCCACCCACTCCTCGCTTCCACCTCCTCTTCCTCCTCCTCTTCCTCCTCCTCCTCCTCCTCCTCCTCCTCCTCCTCCTCCTGCTTCTGGTCAACCTCCCACCTCCTTTGTCCCCACCTCCTCCTCCTCCTCCTCCCTCCCTCCTCCTCCTCCTCCTCCTCTCTCCTCTCTCCCCTCCTCCTCCTCCTCCTCCTCCTCCTCCTCTCTCCTCCTCCTCCTCCTCCCCCCTCCACCTCCTCCTCCTCCTCCTCAAAGCCCTCCCTTCCTCCACCTTCCTCCTCGACCTCTCTTTTCCTCCTCCTCCTTCTCCTCCTCCTCCTCCTCCTCCTCCTTCTCCTCCTCCACCTCCTCAACCCTCCTCCTCCTCCCTCCTCCACATCCATCCTCCACCGTTTCCAACTCCTCCTCCCTCTCCTCCTCCGCCTCCTCTTCCTCTTCGTTCTCCTCCTCTCAGGCCTGGCTGCTGCCACGGTCACCGCTCCAATGGCTGGCCGCTCTGGCCCGCTCGACGCGGAACTCTTCCACGTCTGAGCGTTCTTTCTTTCCCCTCCCCCCGCGCGGCCGCCCTCTTCTTGCATGCCGGCCAATTCACCATTGGATTGTCTCAAATTGCCACACGCTGGAGCGGACTCGCCGCCGACGAAAAAATCCAGTTAGCTGTTGGCTTTCGGGTCGGAACCGACGCAGCCACGCCTCGTTCTCCTCCTCCTCCTCCTCTTCCTCCTCCTCCTCCTCCTCCTCCCCTGCTCCTTCTCCCTCCCTCCTCCTCCTCCTTCTCCTCCTCCTCCTCCTCCTCCTCCTCCTCCTCCTCCTCCTCCTCCTCCTCATACTCCTCCCCCCCCACCCTCCAGCAGCTCCCACACTGCTGGTATTACTAATTTGTGGTGCAACCGTCGAGGACCAATCAATCATCCTTCCCCCTCGTCCTCCCCCCCCCTTCTCTCCGAATCTTGCCCCCCATCCACCGCCCACCCTCTTCTTCGGTGCTCCTCCGCCCTCCAAGGGAAGGAGAAAGAGGATCATGGAAGGATGCGGAAAAGGGGATCGCGAGGAAAACGAAACCAGGACGAGCGTAAATTCGTTCGTTCGTTCGCAAGCCATGTCGCACAATACATCGGCTCAGGAGGTGTGATAGATGATTGCCGCATATCCTGCGTGGCAAGGGTCAATTCGGATGAGGGCAAATCGAGAGTCTCTGAGATCTGGCGGCACTGGAGGATGCATCGGTCGCCGCAGCCTCCTCGGAGCGTTCCGGAACGCTCTGAGATCGTTCCGGGGTCCTCTGGAACGGATTGGTCCTCGTCCTGGCCCGTCCGAATGAATCTCCTACTCGGCCGCCGACTCGGCCGGGAGGGCACCCCGATACCCAGGACGACCGGCGATCAGGAGGGAAGCAGGCCCAGCGGACGAGGGCCACCATGCAGAGGAGGGGCGGGCGCAGAAGAGGTTTGTTTTGTCATCATGCCTCCTAAGGGAAACATGTAACCATAAACCACCACGCAGCCTCTCGGGCCGCAATCCCTTGCCTGAAGGCTTCCAGACCTGGGAGCAGATCGCTGCGTGGGGCTCCTTGCCCAGGCTGCTGGGGTACCACGTTTCGCTGGGGAGGGCCGCTGGGTCTGCAGATGCCTCTCGCGCTACACCTCACGTAGGGCAGGAGAGGGACGATGAGGGGAGGGGGACGGTCAGGAAGAGGAGAATCGCCTTCGCCACGGCGGAGGGCAGACACCTCCGCGATCTGGCGGCAGCGCGGCGGCAGCGCGCGCCCCCAGATGGAATATCGGCCCTGGCTTGGGCCCCTCGCCCGAGGCAGCGGACAGGACAACGCCCAGCGGCCATTTTGTGGGGGGCGACAGGGGGCGCGCGTGACGTCGTGACGCGAGCGGCTCAGGATGCGCTCCAGGAGCTCCAAGAGCACATGGCCCCGGCGGACCTCGCCTCAGGAGTCCGCGCGGTGCAGCCTGACCCACCTCGACACTTGGAGCATGTTTGAAAGTCTGGTGTGTTACACGCAGCACCTTGCACAGTCAACCACCGATTCACGGTCGCGATGGAACTGAACGTCTCTGCAGGTTGTTCAACACTGCTTGGAACATTGTTCTCTGCAGGATGCTCAACACTGCTTGCTGGGTCTCGTGCCTCGCCACTCGAGGTCCGTGAGAATGCCCGCATGACGCAATGCACTGCTGAGGCCCTGCGCCGCACGAGGCTGCGAAGGGCTCAGGGCCTGCTCGCGCGCGCTGGGGGGCGGGCGGCCCCACCGTGCCCCCCCCGAGAGGGAGGCAGTTCCGCGGCCCTCCGCGGTCCTCCGAGAGCTCCTCCGAGGCTCCTGCGAGGCTCCCCGACGTCGTCCGATGCCCCCCTGGGTGCCCCCGAGTTTGCCCCCGACGTCACTCCTTCGAAGCTCCTCTGAGGCGCGCGGAGCGCGCCAGGGGCGGCGCCGGAGGCGCCGCCAGGGGGGGCCCCGCGCGGATCCAGGAAGTCCGCGCGGAGCGCCACTCAAGTTTATGCCCACGTCGCTGTTGCTTCCTCGAGATTCCTGCCACGCGCTGACGCGTGCGTGCGTGTGTGCAGCATGGGCCCTCCCCCCTTGGTGCGTGGAGCCCGCGCCAGGCCTCCGCTCCGCGGCTGCGGGGCCGTGGCACCTGGGCCAGCCACGCGCGCAGTTTCGTTGCCGTGCTCGCATGCCTTGCCTTCGCGTCGGACCTCGCGGCGGCCGATCCTCCGCGCCCGCGCCGCCGGCGTAGCACCCGCGGGTTGTGTCTTCCAGTTGCAGTGCGCTGCGCGTCGGATCTCTCTGGTTCCCGCTTTCCTTCCCCTCTTCCGCCGTCCTTCGCGTCCCCTTCTACTGTAATGCCATGGTTCGGCCCCATCAGCCTCCGCACGTGCTTTTACCAACACCACCCTTTCCTGTGAGCCTGTAGACCAATTGGAGCGCATGGGTCCTCACTGCGAGTAGCTGCTGGGTGCGACCCTGCTCTGGCCTCCGCGCGTGCTTTTGGCACCGTCTCTTGCAACAGTGAAGCTGTCAACATAGGTAAGCTCCTAGACCCTCCTCGGGAGGTGCTATGGCCAGGTGCTGCCCTGCTCTGGCGTCTCTGCGCGGTATTGGCAGAATCTCTCTCCCGTGCGAATTCGCCGACAGCTTTCTGAGCCCCCTGGGAGGTTCTGAGGCAGCGCAAAACAGGACTGTCCGAATCAAACGTCAGCCTCGAGATTCAAGCACACGTGATGCTCTGATGGACCAGGTGTGTCTGCTGCAGAATATTGTGGGATGATTTCAGATCTCCGCTGACCTGGCGGCTTGAGTTGTTCGAAGCATGAACGCCCAGCTGGACCTCTCGACCCCAGGGCTGGTTTTCAATGCCGAATCGTTTATTAACGGTCCTTTGCCCAAAACCGGCCTCCAGAAGCCGAAAACGGCAAGCGCGGACGGGTGCACACCCAGCCATGGTGACAGACATGCGCGCGGTACAGCTGTACTTCACGACCCCCCCAATCGAAAAGGCACGGCCACTCGCATGGAACACGAATCGTGTTCGAACAGCTATATAATCAGCGACGCTGGCGGTACGCGGAAGGGCCAGGGCAGGGGGCAGGAGGGCTTCTGGCCCCACTGTGCACCCAAGGCCTGGCTGAAACCAGCGCGCTGTCATCAAAAAAACACCAGAACAACGGCATCGACAGCAATTATGATGGATATCGGCAGATGCTTCGGCCAACGCCCACGCTGACTCCATCCCCACCCCAGCTCGACAAAATATCATTCAATGCATTGGGATGCCCCACGTGCAGCTGCTGTCGCTGCTCGGGGAGGTTCTGGCGCATTCCGGCCGCCCTTGCGCTCTGGCGGCGGAAGAGAATTCGGCTCCAGGGACCGTTGAAGGCCTGGAGGGGCAGGGGGATGGCAAGGGCGAGAAGGAGAAGGGGGGGAACGAGAGTGGGAAGGAGAACAAGAGAGAGAGGTCGGATCAATGGATGGCCCGATGAAAATGGTGGCGGCTGCGACTAAGGCTCCCGCGCATCGTGCTCCTCGATGCTCGGCTGTGGGCTCAGCTGTGGACCAGGTCAGGCCGTCCTCCCGCGCCCCCTCTTCCAGACCGGACGAGGCGGACGCAGATGCGGAGGAGGAGGAGGACGAGGAGAAGGAGGAGGAGGACGACGATGAGTTGGAGGAGGAGGAGGAGGAGGAGGCTCTCGGCGGCGAGCGAGGGGGGGGAAGTGAGAAGGAGCAAGCCTTCTCGGCAGGCTCGAAGTCCCCCGGCCTTCCGAGAAGTCTTCGATGCCTTCCCCGAGGACGCCTAGAACTTCTCGGAAAGCGCGAGGGCTTCCCGAGAGGCCCCGCCGCCTTCTGGGCAGGCCTTCTCCTTCTCGTTTCCCCCCCTCGCTCGCCGCCGGGACTCGAGATCGGAGCCAGGGGGCCGAACGGTCCTACACCGTCCTCGGACTGAAACGGGGCTCCGGGGTGCGAATTCGCGTTTTAGTACCACTCCCCCCGAACAACATGTAGTTGACTCCCCCGTCTGGCGCGCACCGCTTCTGTACGATTATGTTGCTCCCATCGTACTTACGGACTACATCCCAGAAATAATGTCGAGCACCCGGAGAAGAGTCGAAAGAGTGTCGAAAGAGTGCCGAAACAGTGTCGGGCGAGTGTCTCCAAGGGCCCGACACGCGGAACCCCTCGAGCTTCGGTGCTCTTTCTGGTGCTCGACCTTCTTCCTGGGGATCCAGGCGAGGAGCAGGTTGGAACCTCATAACTGCACGATGGATTGCTGCAGTGCCCCCTCCTGTTGAGGGGCAGTCCTCCTCCTGTTGAGGGGCAGTCCTCGTGCCCAGAACCTCGGAGCTATGCCCCCAGGCTGCCACGACAGCGGCGCTTCCCCCGAGGCCGCCTCGCGGGGTGTGCAGAGATCGCGCCCGCGCTCGACTTCCTTGCCGTTACTTCGAGAGTCGCACTCTCCCATGCGACTGCACTCCACTGCATGGAGGCGCAGCGCTCTTTGCGTCTAGGACTCGCACTCCTGCGCGAGACGCCCTCACGACTGGTGCAAGAGTCGTGCCCTCGCCTGAACTTCTTCGCGAATCATTCACGGGCCCAACAGGCCAGAGGCGTGCTAAGATTTCCGGCAAACGATTCGCATCACAATATCTTTAGTTCGCGCGCGCGGGGCGCCCCCGGGGGGTCCCTAAGCGAAAGGTACCAGGGGAAGGTCCCACCAAGGATACTGGACTGGGGGCGGTGTTCAAAGGATTCCAGGGTGCTCCAGGAGCTCCCCCAAAGACCCCAAGGGAGACCCAAAATGGCCTAAGAGTCGGGATCAACGGATGGCAAGCCCCAAGATGGCCCAAAAGACGGCCCCAAGATAGCCCGCCGAAGGTCTAAGCAAACTCCCTGAGGGCTTCCAGAGGCTCAATTTCAATTGTTTATGTTCCTTACCTAGGCTCTGCCTAGAAGGGTTCATACTCTCTGGGCTTAAAGGGCCGGGCAGTGCACCCCGCCCCGGGCGGTTCCCCCGGTATCCGCCCCGCGGTTCCCCCAGTTACGTCCCCTTAGCTTAGCGTTGTTTATCTCATCTTAGCTTAGCTTGTTTCATCTGAGCTTAGCTTAGCGTCATCTTAGCTCAGGTTTATCTTAGCTTAGCTTACCTTCGTCTTAGCCTCGCTGAGCTTTAGCATAGCAGAGCACAGCATAGCATAGCGTAGCATAGCATATCATAGCATAGCCCAGCCCAGCATAGCATAGCGCAGCATAGCTGGAGCCACTGGACATCTGGGATATGTGGGTGTATCTTATGGCGCTCGTGTGTGCCAACCGCGTTGCCAGTTTAGTTTTCTGTTCGGGTAATTCGCATGGGTGTAATTCCCTACCTAGGCTCTGCCTGGAGGGTTAGCTTAGCTTAGCTTACCTTAGCTTAGCATAGCGCAGCGCTGCATTAGCATAGCATAACATAGCATGGCATAGCGAATCATAGCATAGCATAGCATAGCATAGCATAGCGCAGCATAGCATAGCATATCATAGCTTAGCTTAGCACAGCGCAGCATGACATAGCATAGCTTAACTTATCCTATCATAGCATAGCATGGTATAGCGCAGCATAGCATAGCATAGCATAGCATAACATAGCGCAGCATAGCATGGCATAGCATAGCATAGCAACGAATGCTGCTTTACTAGGGGCTCCAACTTCTAGGTAGGGCCGCACTGGGGTAATTGGTTGGTTGAAAGGTTTTGGAATTACCATCCTCGCGAGCTTCCCACTGCCCGAGATGGCCTTGGAGGCCCCAAGATCGCCCCAAGATCGCCCCAAGAGGCTCCCAGGACGGCTTCAAGACGGCCCGAGAGGGCACCAATACGGTCCAAGAGGCCCCCCAGGGGGGCTCCCGAGGCTCCCAAGAGGGCTCCAAGAGAGGAGTCCGAACTGCCATTCTGAGCCCTTTCCCCCGAAGATGGCCCCCGAGACCGCAAGCAAGCTCGCAAGGGGCCCCCATGAGACCCCTAAATGCCCCCAAGACGCCTTCGAGAGGCTCCACGGAGGCCCCAAAGAGGCGCCAAATGCCGCTACGAGACCCCCGAGAGGTCTCCCACGAGAGACCCCAACAAGCCTCCCAACAAGGCCTCTGTCCACGACCCTGTCTGGCCGAAGGCCACTAAACACTACATACAGCATGGGCCGGCGGAGAGAGCGAACCGATCCGCCGCCCCACCCGGCACTGCGTGTGAGATCCACAGCATGGTCTTCAAGAGTGCTTCCTGGAAGCCTTCTCGCCAGCGCGCTTCTCATACCCTCCCCTGCCTCTGAGCCCTCATCGCCCTCCTAGGGTCCTCCCCGCGGCCCCCTCATTCCGCCGGCCCGAGGGCCCGGGCTGCGGCCGGGGTGCCCTCTGGCCCCCACCTCTGTCCCGAGACGACCCCCCTTTTCACGTGCTCGGCTTCCGAGCGCCACCAGACCCTCTCAAAGAGCTCTCCGGGAGCCTGCTGGGCCTGTTTGGGGGGCCTCTAGGGTCTCTTTTTCTGGGCTGATCTTCACCGTCCTTAAGGGCCACCAGCGGCCGTCCCGGATAAACATCCACCTCTCTTCGAGTCTCATACACCTCTACCCCCACACAAGCAGCACAAATGATTAATCACATAAGATTCTCACGACTCTGTCCTTATCGGGCCGTTCTTGGCGGCTCTATGTGGATGCTCTCTGCGGCCGTCCTCACAGCCTCTCGGGGCCCTCCTCGGCCGTCTGGACGCCTTCTTGGCGCTGTCCTGAGCTGTCCTTGGCGCGCCCAGGGGGTCTCTGGAAGCCCTCCTGAAGCCCCAGCACCAACTGGGAATGCGCCTCTCCGTATCCCTCTCCTGTCTCGTCAGCAATGTTCTACGCCTTTGGGTGCCCTTTCGGGTGGTTTTCGCAGCCTCTTAGGGGCACTCCTCGGCAATGGTCTGGCGTCTTTGGAGGCCCTCTGGGGCCGCCTCCCGCCCCCCTCCTCGCCCTCCGGGATCATGCCAGTTGCAGTTTGGTCGCGTTCTAGGGAGCCTTCTGGGGCCGTCTTGCACCCCCCTCTCACCCTCTGGTAGCGTTTCAACGGCCCTCCTGCTCCTCCACCCACCTCCCAGAGCCCCCACACTCCTCTCAAAAGTCCACGATCTCAAAAAGGGTGGGGCGGCGGCATCTGCCCCAGCAGGGGCTTTCGACTCAGTAGCAACAATTTCAGGTACAGTGCCCGGCCCGCCCGCCGCCGGTTGCGCGACAGCCGCCCGACCCGCTATAGGGTCCGCCCGCCCGACCCGCCCGGTAGGGTCTGCCCGTTCGCCTGGTCTGGGCATGGCATGGTCTGTAGCAGGGTGTACGCCATTTGAAAAACATGTACGCCGAAATCCATCGCGATGCGCACACACCCCTTGCAATGCAATCCAGTCTCGTGCTGCCCTGTGCTTCAGACGCGGGTTCGGTGCTTCAGTCGACATCTTCTTGACATGGGCGATATCAGGGTTCCTAGGCGCAGCTTTAGTCTACTGTTGTTGTTCCATGTCGTTCGAGATATAGCCTTCTCAATTGAGGGTAAATGTGAAGTGGCGGGAGGGTCGTCGGCCGTCTCCACAGAAGTCCGCCTCAGGCGCCGATCTTTCAACACATCACATGCCGAGCCCGCCGCAGGCACCGTTTTTAGTCAAAGCATTCTGGAAGGGTCGCGGGCGGGTCGCGGGTGGGTGGCGGGTGGGACTTGACGAGCAAGAAGACCACCAACAACCACCACAATCATTCACTGTTCGTTTTTGGCGCTCGCACGGCACTCAACACGCATACCCCCAAAGCCTCGATACCGAAACGCCTCGTCTTCGATCCTGCCCCCTGTGAAGGGATAGGTCTTCCTTGTCTGACACGTGTGGTTGGCGCGGCCCCTGGAGCGGGAAGAGGAGGGAAAAGGGAAACAGGGAGAGCGAGAGGGGGGGGCACTAGTGACAAAGAAAAAACACAGTCCCAATCCCAAAATCGCGGATTCACCGAGGACTCGAACATCGGCCAAAGATTTCGGGGTATGGTCTGCGCTCCCTGGTAAAACCCTGGCCCGAAACCTCCCTCCCCGAAGTCTCGAGGACCCTGCGTCTCGTCTTGGCCCTCGCGCTTTCGGGACTCTGGGCGCCTGTTTCGAGCTGGCGAGACAGGGCCACACGACGCACCAGGCCGGACAGTATTCGGCAGGGCGGGGGGGAGGAGGCCAAAAGGGAGGATCTGCAGGCGGACCCGAACGGGCGGGTCGGGCGGGCGGACCCACGTGGTGCGTCGGGCGGGCGGGCCTTGAGGGGCGAGTCGGGCGGGGGATTGCCCAAGCAAGCGGGCAGGCTTCCGGGCAAGCGAACGGACGGGCCCGGAACGGGCGGACCGGGCGGGGGCCTCCGCGGGCGGGTGGGCCGAGGCGGGCGGGCGGGCCCCGAGGGGGCGCGTCGGGCGGGATGGTAAGGTGGGCGGGCGGGCCTCCAAATCACGAGTGCCAGGCTGAACGCAAGTGCTGCATGTTCAGATCGCATGGGTCGGTGACCGCGAGGATTGTCCTCCTCGGGCACAGCAAGTTCGGACCAGATGGATCGAACATGTCCCGTACAAGCTGCCACGTTGTGGCAGGTACGAGTCGTCTCGTCCGTATATCTGGTTGACCTACGGCTAAGAGAGTCCAGCCTGGGCGGCTGATGTTAGAGGATAATCATGCGAATTGCATTCAATGGCAACCACTAATACGAACGATGGTCAGTGAACGCTGATCAACTTCGAACAGATAAGGTCTAATGACTATGCCACGTCGGCTGCACATGACAACAATATCAGTTGGCCAAGTGCAGATGCTGAGGAGTGAATTGCGCAGCGGTCGGGCTTGTCACCATGAACGCTTGATCCAAACAACGTGTGCTTGCGAACTGCATGTGTTGAAAGGCAGTGGGTCGGACAGAGAGTGATAACGTTGAAGCAGAGCAGGACACCTCAACAATACACATCAGAGTGAGGGGGCCGAACGGTCATTCAGTGTCCCTGGGTGCGTGGCTGAAGTGGAATTCCGCGATGCGGATTCTGGTTCTTGTTGTTTGTTGTTTGTTGTTTGTTTGTTTGTTTGGCGTCGTCTCCCCCGTGGCCCGCCTCGCGACCCACCCGCGACCCACCCCGCGACCCACCCCGCGACCCACCCCACGACCCACCCGCGACCCACCCCGCGACCCACTCACGACCCACCCGCGACCCACTCCGCGACCCCGCGCCCGCGACCCACTTCACGCCCCGCTGCGTGACCCACCTGCGACCGACCCGCGACCCACCCCGCGACCCACCCGCGATCCACCCGCGATCCACCCCGCGCACATTGCAAGTTCAAAAATCGGCGCCAGCGGCGGGCGGTTTTGCATTCGCTCGCGACCCCCGACCCGCGACCCACCCCGCGACCCATCCGCGACCCACCGCGACCACCCCGCGCACGTTGCAATTTCAAAATCGGCGCTTGCGGCAAGCTGTTTTGCGTTTGCTCGCGACCCCCGACCCGCGACCCACCCCGCGACCGACCCCGCGACCCACCGCGACCACCCCGCGCACATTGCAATTTCAAAATCGGCGCCTGCGGCGGGCTGTTTATGCGTTTGCTCACGACCCCTGACCGACCATCCGCGACCCACCCGTGATCATCCGCGACCACTCCGCGCACGTTGCAATTTCAAATTCGGCGCCTGCGGCGGGCTGTTTTGCGTTTGCTCACGACCCCCGACCCGCGACCGACCCCGCGACCCACCCCGCGCACGTTGCAATTTCAAATCGGCGCGCAAGGCGGGCTGGTTTGTTTTCGCTAGCCCCCGACCCGCGACCGACCCCGCGACCATCCGCGATTATCTGGAGGAGAAGGAGGAGGAGGGCGGCTGAGGGAGGAGGGAGGGAAGGGGGAGGGGGGACTAGAGCAAGGACGAGGAGGAAGAGGAGCAGAGGGACTAGGATGAGGAGGAGGAGGAGGAGGAGGAGGAGGAGGAGGAGGAGGAGGAGGAGGAGAAGCGCCAGCGACAAAGAAAGTGAGGGACACGAAATCCGCAACTTCGATGCCCGCAACGCCCGCGCCCGCCCCCTCACTCTTATCCGCAATTGCGGGGTGCTACGTACAAGCATCGTCAGTGCAGCTGCGGGGTGCTTCAAATATGTACGCTCTACCAGATCAATGGACCAACTATATGTGGAATACCTACCTGTCTGACATTGAAGCTTGACCTCGCGTATTTGCAGGCCTGTGTCTGAAATGAAGTGGGGGAATACCCCACGACAAGGGGCACGGTAAGCGCACATGTGGCCGGAACTCCACACACACAGATCGGTCGGTCGGCGAATGGCTTGATTCAGGTTCGACTATTTGCTGCGCGGCAGGGCAGTCATGTACATGTGCGCTGCATTTACCTACGCACTCGTGTGTGAAGACACATACATGCATGTCCGTCCAAACATCAGGGTGAGGGGGCTGAACCGACAGGTCGACATCAGGGTGCGTGGCTGGAGTGGAATTCCGCGATGCGGATTCTTGTTCTTGTTGTTTGTTGTTTGTTGTTTGTTGCTGTCGTCGTCCCACCCGCGACCCGCCCGCGACCCACCCGCGACCCACCCACGACCCCCGACCCACCCGCAACCCACCCCGCGACCCACCCGCGACCCACCCCGCGACCCACCCGCGACCCACCCGCGACCCACCCGCGACCCACCCCGCGACCCGCCCGCGACCCACCCCGAGACCCCCCCGGCGACCCACCCGCGACCCACCGGAAATCCACCCCGAGACCCACCCGCGACCCACCCCGCGACCCACCCCCGACCCACCCGCGACCCACCCGCGACCCACCGCGACCCACCCGCGACCAACACGCGACCCACCCCGCGACCCACCCACAATTTTCGGCGCCTGCGGCGAGCTTCTTTTGCATTCGTTCCAGGTGGAGGACCTGCGACCCACCCGCGACCCAAACCGTGTTTAGTGTACGCATCAAAATTTTCGGCGCCTGCGGCGGGCTATTTTTGAATTCCTTCCAAGTGGAGGTGGAGAGCCCGCGACCCACCCGCGACCCAAACTACGTTCACTGAACAAGCCAAAACTTTGGCGCCTGCGGCGGGTTTCTCTATTGCATCCGGTTTCGCCCCAAGACGGCCCAAGAGACCCCCAGGAGAGCCTATAGACAGCCTGGATGGCCCCAAGACTGCCCAAGGAAGCCCCAACTGAGCCAAAACGAAGCCCAACAGGCCCTCACAGGGCCCCGAAGCGATCAGAGCGGTGATCAGAGAGGCCGAAGAGAAACCCAGGACAGCACAAGAGCGCTCCAAGAAGAACCTAGATGGCCTCCAGAGGCCCACAAGACGGCGCAGTAGGCCCTCAAGAGGGCTCCCAGAATGCAGACATCGCTTCATTCCCTTTGGGAAACGTACCTTTTCAGCACATGTGCTGTGCCTGTCTCAGCAGCGTCCAAAACAGCCAAGAAGGCCTCCAGTATCGCCCCAGGACGGTCCAAGAGACCCCCAAGAGAGCATCTAGACGGCCTGGACGGCCCCAAGACTGCTCAAGAAATCCACAAATGAGCCCAAAAGAGGCCCACCAGGCCCTCACAAGGCCCTAAGCGATCAGAGCGGTGATCAGAGAGGCCGAAGAGAAACCCAGGACAGCACAAGAGCGCTCCAAGAAGAACCTAGATGGCCTCCAGAGGCCCACAAGACGGCGCAGTAGGCCCTCAAGAGGGCTCCCAGAATGCAGACATCGCTTCATTCCCTTTGGGAAACGTACCTTTTCAGCACATGTGCTGTGCCTGTCTCAGCAGCGTCCAAAACAGCCAAGAAGGCCTCCAGTATCGCCCCAGGACGGTCCAAGAGACCCCCAAGAGAGCATCTAGACGGCCTGGACGGCCCCAAGACTGCCCAAGGAATCCCCAAATCAGTCAAAAAGAGGCCCAACAGGCCTTCACAAGGCCCCCAGGAGAAGCCCAAAACGGCCATGGGAGGCCCTACAAAAGGCCACGGGAGGCCAACTGGAGGGCGGGAGGGCCTACGTAGCCCCCGTAAGGTCCCTAGAGGGCCCAAGCTCCCCAACACGGCCCAAGATGGCCCCAAAACGGCTCGAGGCGGCCCCAAGCCGGCCGGCCCACCAGGGCTCCAACGAGGCCCACACGGAGTTTCCCATCAAACTGACCCGAATCCCGGGCTCGAAACCACAAATCCCGGAAATCTGTTGCGAACCCGGGATTGGGTGCATTCCCTAAGAATTATTTGCGTTCGCGCGCCCCGTTGCGACCCGCTGCAACCCGCTGCAGCATTCTTCGCCGTCCCTCGACGTCGCACTCCTCCTCTCTTTCTGCCGCTCCACAACTCGTCCTCCCCCACATTCGCTTCCTTTCCTCGCTCTCCAAGATCCCCTCCCTCTATCCTTCGCCCTCCACTCGGCGCCTTTCGGGAGCCCCCAGAGGCCCGGGAAAGGCCAGGGACCGCCCGAACTTTCAAAAGATGTATGAGAACCACCGCAGGGAAGGGGCCAACATTGCAAAGGCCACTAAGGATGGCGCGAACGACCAACATATGCAAATCCACAAGGTTCATGGCGCGAAGCGCCATTGCAGTCTTGTGTATATATATATATACATACATGTATATACATATATATATATATATATGTGTGTGCACACATGCACACCATACTATGTGAACATGCATGTATGTTCAGAGCAAGAGAGAGCGAGAGAGAGAGAGATACCAAAAAAAGGAGAGAGACAAAAGAAAGAGAAAGAGAGAGAGAGAGAGAGAGCATGACCAAACGACCAGGACCCCCCCCCCCAAAAAAAATCCTCTCGCGCTGCCGCTCGAGATCACCGGCGCTGCCGTGCGCACAGTGCTCTGCCGAGGTCTGCCTGCCGCGGGCCGCGCCCGCGCCTCCTCCCCCCCTCGGCCGGCTCCGCCGCTGCCGCCCCCCAGGGCCCCCGGGCCCCCTCGGCCCCGGGGCCCGCTCCCGAGAGAAGCGCGCGCACGTCTGAAGCAGAAGAAGGAAACCATGTCCGAGCTCGAAAGAATCCCCGCGAGGGGGCAGGACACAACGAACCGGCCTCTCGAACGTGTCCCTATGCCTGAGAGGGGCGAGCAAGAGGCGAGGACAGTCTTAGGGATGGGCCATCAGAAACTGAGGGAATCCTTAAGATCGGCATCGAGGTGAGGTGATGTCAAACATAGGGATAGGGACATGTTTCAAACTGGTGAACAACTACAGGCCTGGCTCACTGGCAAGTGGGCTGCTCGAGAAAGTCTGTGTGCGAAGTCCGTTATGATCGTGATCCGGCGGCACGATGCCGTCCACGTGTGCCAGCATGTTCGGCGTACCGGCGCAGCGAGCCCTCCCATTTCATCTACGGGCGGCACGACGGTTTTCGGCTTCATAAGCCACGCGGTTTTCCCGTGCTTCTGAAATCGAGCCTTCCTTGAGAAGCACGCTGATCTCTCGGCCCACCCTGGCTCCAGGGACCATCCAGCTGCCAAGCGTCGCCTTCAAGGAGGAGGATAGCTGGGAGAAAGAGGCATGCAACAACATGCCCTTCTACTAACGTTGCCACCGCCGTGCTCCCTGCGACAAGTTCGCCAAACATCACGCCGGGCAGCATGCGCGACGAGGGCTGGTGTCTGTCATTCACCTGTAAGAGGCAGCCAAAGAAAGCCAGCGAAACAGCCACGGTCAAACACACAAACGCCTCATGACAACCTCGCAACAACGCCGTCGGCATCGCTCCCTTTGTCATGCTCCTGGTCCTCGTCGCCGTCCAGGTCGTCGTCGTCACCAGACCCTTGACAGCTTGACTTGCTTCAGTCCACGGGCCCTGGAGGTCCCGACCACCCCTCCGTGGGCAACATCGGCCCCTGCTGGCCCCAGGGCACCAGGACGGCCCCCACTCCCTCCGAAGGCAGGCTGCGGGCGCAGGCCGGCCTGTACAGGGCGGGGGTCGCCGCGAGCGAGTGACCGCTGGCGCTGCTGGAGCAGCCCTCGTCTGAGGAGAACGGCAGGGTCGAGCCTGGGGGCGAAACGCGGGGGGGCGAACGCGGGGGGGGGGGGGGGGGGGGCAATGTAGGAAGGAGGTGGGGGAGGGGCAGCGGGATACGAAAGTCTCCCGCGAGAGAACAGAAAAAGGCGGAGAGGGGGAAGATGGAGGAGGGGGGGAGGATGACGAGGAAGGGGAGGAGGAGGAGGAGGAGGAGGAGGAGGAGGAGGAGGAGGAGGAGGAGGAGGAGGAACGCGAAGTGAGGGAGGAGGATGACGAGGGAGTAGTGCGCGAACACGGCCCGCGATGGCCGAGCGAGCCTCCTGAGGGACCGAAGGACGAGGAGGCGCCAAGGAGGGCCTCCAGAGCCCCCCAGAGCCCCCCAAGAGGCCCCACAGAGGCCCCCAAGAAGCCCACAGGAAAGGCCCCCCACGAAAGTGCTGCAGTGCCCACGAGGAACTCACCGAGCCCCCCTCCCAACAAAAAAAAACAGAGAACTCCAACAGAGATCCCCATGAGACCTCAAGGGGGCCCGCGACGCCCACCGAGAAACCCCGACGAGGCGCAACGCCGCCCCCGTACGCCTCCCTAAAGGCCCCGATGAGGTCGAGAGGCTCCCTGAGGACATCGACACGCGCAGCAGCAACGTCGACCAAGGCCGCTGATGTCCGTTGTTTGTTTAACTTCACCAGCACAAGCTGCTTTTCAGTGGCCCCCCCCCTTCCTTGTACGCCTTCAACTGCGAATGGAAACAACTCTTCATGCTATCACACTGACCCGCGGCCGCGCCCTCGAAAACAAGCAGGTGGACATGGCAGGTGAGGCGGAAGTGTAGGGGGAAGATGAGACAGCGTGGGAAGAACGAGCAGAGAGAGAAGGCATGGGAACACTCATTTGCCCTCAATCTGACGTCTGTGCCGTATGCTTCCAGCATGGACCCCGAACAATGAATTGCACATCGCGTGTTGCAATCTCTGTGGAGCAATACGTGTGGCGCAATGTGGGTAGATCCTGTGTGATGCAGTCTGTGCGTCGAGAACGCCTTTGCACGCCTTGCCGCACTGCAGCCTCGCCAGGCCGCTTTCGCAAGCGCCGCGGCGGACATGCGCGGCAGCGCAGCTGGATCTTGTAGACTCACATACAGAAGCATGTCTACAGACGTATGTATACATATGTATGTGCGCATGGGCAAGCACCCGTATTTATGTTTCTATACCACATATATATATATATATATATATATATATATACAGGTTGCTCGCGGAGCCAAGCCCCCCCCCACTTGCCAAGGGGCCTGCCCTGGACGCCCAGTTCTGCTGTGATGACACGCGGCGGCTGGCAGGGACACCCGCGGGGGAATCACAGCACAGTGCCAGACGGCAGTCGGCACAGGCGGCGAGCGCAACCATCGAGATAGGGGCATGATGCTTGCGTGGCAGCGCGGCAGAGGCAGTCCGCACGCACGCTCGGGCAAAGCCGGGTGGGAATCGAGGTGAGCACAATGTGCTGACAACCCTGCGCCGCCAGCCGCGGCACGCTCGTCCCGAGTCCCTCGTGCCCTGCAACACGGGTTGGAGTGTCCTCAGGTCCTTTGAGCTTCCCGTTCTCAGTTCTGAGTGAGGAGAGGAAAGGAAAGGAGAGGAGAGGAGAGAAGAGAGGAGAGGAGAGGAGGAGAGGAGAGAGGAGACGAGAGGAGACGAGAGGAAAGAGGAGACGAGAGGAGACGAGAGGAGAGAGGAGAGGAGAGGGGAGGAGAGGAGGAGGAGAGGAGAGGAGAGGAGAGGAGAGAGGAGAGGAGAGGAGAGGAGAGGAGGAGAGGAGAGGGGAGGAGAGGAGAGGAGAGAAGAGGGGAGGAGAGGAGAGAGGAGAGGATACCAGTGGGCCTGAACCCCAAATTGCTGGATTTCGTAAAAGGCTTCCCGCGTGCCGCCTGGGGCTCCCGCGTGATCTCGCACGACCTGTTCGGGGCCGAGGGGGCCTCCAAACGGGCAAGGAGGCCCCCCAAGGGGCTCCCAAGGAGGTCCAAGACGGCCCAGAGTCGCCGAAAGATCGCTCCAGGACGCTCCAGATGGCCTGCAGACGGCCCAAGACGCCCCAAGAGGGCTCCAACAGCATGTCCCAAGGCGCCCCGAGAAGTCCACACCATGCCTTTCCCAGCTGCTGTTGAACCGTGGGGGCCTCCTCGCCCGTTTCCACCGGCTCTCCTGGCTGCCGGCGCTCCGAGACGGCACAGAGAGCTCCAAAGTCGCCTCAGGGCAGCCCAGAGAGCTCCCAGGAGGACCGCAGAGCGGCTCACACGAGCCGACATTCTCGAGCCCTCTTCGCCCACAGACGGCCCCCGAGGCCGCGAGCAGGCCCCCGAGGATTTCCCCAGAAGGGCCAGGAATCGGCGGTGGACAAACCTCCCTTTCGTAAACATCCCCTTAGTGAAAAGCGCCTGGGACCGAAACCGACGGACCTGGACCCGCAAAAACGACGGCCGCGACGCCCTCTCGCGAACCGAAAACGGCCAATTCCTTAATCGACGTGTCAGGGTAGGAGGTCTATCCACCTCCGAAGGAAGGGCCCCGAAGAGGTCCAGGAGCAGGCCCCAAGAGGCTCCAGCCAGGCCCCCGGGAGGCTGCAGAGACACCTCCAACGGGGCACCCGCAGGGCCTCCCAACGGATCCCAGCTGGCACGTCCAGGGGGCCTCTGACCTGCAACCTCGGCGCAGCGGCAGAACACGCCGAACGCCAAATAGACGCACATACATCAACACCGACATACGTCTATGTCTAGAGTATAGGTATGTTTGTCTGTATGTGTGAATGTATGGATGGATGCATGGACGAATGAATGTATGGATGTATGTCTGTATGTATGCCTGTCTGCCTGTATGCTTGCTTGTTTGTGTGTATACATATAAACACACATATACACATGACTACTTATACTATCCGCCAATCGCCGAGGAGGTTGGGGTGGAGGGGTGGAACAAGCGACGGGACAACCATCGGGGCAAGCGTCCCCATCCATCGAACGAAACCTTAATCGGTCTCACATTCGACTGGCCGCACTATCTGCACACTGGCCCGACTGTCAATAGAGTGTCGATATATCGGAAGATCGAGCGATACATAGATGTCGCGATCGCCCTCCCCATCTATCGATTTCCCCATCGATCGATATCATTATACACCTAGGTGTCCCGATATACCGGCCCAACTTTATGTATACCTACCCATGTTCTGTTCCACCGATCGCACTGCCAAACCCACTATCGATGTCTTTACAGGTTTCACGATCTAACGATACTACTACCTACACCATCTATCCACCAAGCGTCCTCACCATCTGTTTACCGACCTCGGTATTAAGACGACCTGTCGATGTTCACATCTATCGCTTTCACTATCAACTCCACAAACAGGACATCAAGCGCATGTTGTACGTCTATGTTGGTCGACATCTAGAGGTGCCGAACGCGCCGAGCGCCTTTTCCTTGCAAGGATCCATCGAAACAACCCTTGGGACAATCATCGGAACAACCACCTTGTCAATCATCGGAGCAACCATCGGGACAAGCATCGGGAAAACCATCAGGAGAACCATCGGGACAACCCTCGGGACAACCATCGGAACAACCCTCGGACAACAATCGGGACAATCATCGGGAAAACCACCGAGACGAACACCGGGAGCACCATCGGGGCAACCAGCGGGGCAACCATCAAGACGACCATCGGGAAAACCGTCGGGGCAACCACCCGGGCAATCATCGGGACACCATCGTAACAACCATCGGGGTAACCACCGGGGCAACCACCGGGACAAACATCGGGACAACCATCGGGGTAAACATCGGGACAACCATCGGGACAATCATCGAGACAATCATCGGGACAACCATCGGAACAACCGGACAACCATCGGGGCAGCCACCAGAAGAACCATCGGGAGAGCCATCGGGACATCTACAAGACAACCATCGGGACAACAGCGGGACGACCATCGAGACGGCCGCGGGACGACCCCGCGCTCCCCAAAGTCGCCGACCCGAAGGGGGAGGGCCTTGTGCTTCGGCGTGGCCCCGGCGGCGGCGGAGCGGAATCGCTCCGCCTCGCCCGCGCACGCAGGCTCCGCCTCGCCCGTGCGCACAACTCGGAGCCCGAACGCAGAGAACGACTTCCTGATGGGGGGTCTTCGTTGCACGGTTGCCTCGATCTCACCCCCCGCACCTCCGAGCCATGTCTAGGTACGCGTAGGTCTAAGAAGAAAGAGAGAGAGAGAGAGAGAGAGAGAGAAAGAGAGAGCGAGAGACAGAGGGAGAGAGAGAGAGAGAGAGCGAGAGCGAGAGACGAGGCAGGGAGAGAGAGAGAGAGAGAGAGAGAGCGGGAAAGAGAGAGAGAGAGAGGGAAAAAAAACAATGGGAGAAATACGATACAGACGTTCCATATATATATATATATATATATATATATATAGAGAGAGAGAGAGAGAAACAAAAAAAAGAGGGAGAGGCAGAGGCAGAAATATAGAAAGGGAGAGAGAGAGTTCGTTCCTTATGGCTAGTGAGGCCCGCGCTTGCGGGTCCGCCTCCCGTCCGTGCTGCGAGCGCGGCCTGCGCACGTCGGGGGCCTCGAGCCTCCTCGGTTGCGGAGGAGCCTGCTGGTGGAGAAAAACGTACAGGAAGACGGATGGGACAAAACGGGTGGGTGGAGAGAGAGAGAGAGAGAGAGATAGAAAGAGAGATACCCAAATCAACAATCCACCCAATCGATAGCGGATGGGTCGGCACGCCGGAAGCGACATGCTAAAAAGGCGCCTTACCAAGGGTATCAATCCTCATATCACCCTCACTCGCACACGTCGCACCACGGCCGCCACCATGGTGAGCCCAAGACTTCCCGTCGCTCCTCGGATCTGCTGGTATTCAGGGAGGTTGAAAATAGACACTGGCACCCTGGCGGCGCCCGCAGCTCCCTGGAGCAGGTACGCCTCATAGATGTTGGCCCAGTGCAGTGTGTAGTAAGCCTTCGCTGTCTCGAAGAGT